TTTTTTTGTCCTCTACCTTTTTGATGTTGAGATATATCTTTTGCATTTCTGAGCGTTATTTCAAGCAACAGCCTCAAAATGGAAAAACCAAATTCATTGACTTATTGAAATTTGTCTCACAAATAACAACAACAACTAACTATGTGTATTTATTTGAGTTTGTATATATAATTTGAGTTCTGATAGATTCGCATGTGGCGTGCGCGGATTTGTTGGCATATTTCTGGGTTGCAAAAAAAATTTTCAACGGCCCCGCATTACAAAATATATCGCCGAAAATAATAAAATTTTGTGGCTTTTGGCAAATATTTGGACAGCTAGCGTCATGTCGTGGGGGCACGACGGGCGAAGAGCTCGAAATGAAAATCATGTACACGAGGTAAGAACTGAAAAATCGAGTGGTAAAATGTAGATATAGAAATTGTAGACAGTTTTTCTATATCTGCGCACATTTCTGTCATAACAAAAAAATATTTTTACTGGCTGCGCAGCCGCTCGTCCCAGTCCCCTTGCCCCATACGAATTTCTGTGTTGACTTTATGCTGAATATATAAAAATGAAAATAAATAAATAATGAAAAAAAAAAAAGGAATAGCATGCCAATAAATACAAATAAATATGCTGTTTTCAAAGAGGGGGCAAAGGGCAGGCAGGGGCAGTGAGCCTTTGGCGTGGCGAGTGACGAGAAAAATGAAAAATAGACTCGCGGACAATGTTTCGAATTTTATAAATGAACGGCAAAAATAAAAAAAAAAGAAATAAATGAATTTATTGTCGACAGCGTACGAAGCCAAGATACGAAGATGATTCTGACTGTAGATCATAATGATGATGACGATCTTCATCATGATGATGCAAATGTAGACAAGCAAACAAAGATATCTGCTGTATTATAAATTTGCTTTCGTTGAAATGAAATCGCGCGACTCATAAATTAATTAAGGCAATAAGTGCATTAGGCGTGTGTGCGTGTGTGTGTGCTTGGGCGGGGGAGGCTATGTCAAATGTATCTCTATCTGTAACTGAAAAGACGCTGCCTTCATCTGGTTGTTATTGTTCTTGACTTGCTTGATTGTTCATCATTCAAATCTTAAGCGCTTCAGCTCCTTCTGCTGCCATTTGACTGCTGCATCTACAAGATACTCATGTATCTGACACCTGTCATCTTTTCGTTTAAATTACGCCCCAAACTCTCTCCCCTTGCAGCACATTGTTGTTGCTCTGCTAATTTTACTCTCCGGACAAAGCGCCCCGTACGTGCATATGTGTGCGTGTATCAATTGTCTGTGTGAGGCTTCTGGCATAACATGCTCTCACGTGTTTGTGCTGTCATTTGGAGTAGCGTCTCCTGCCTATACCAAGATGCCAATAATCTCCGCAATGCCGTAACCTCCGAGTCGCCTTCTTGCTGCTCTGCTGAGGCGCAAAGTAGTTGTATTTATGTTAACTTTGACATAAGCCTGACATGCAAATTTCTGTTGTTGTTGTTGTTGTCAATTCGGTTGCATGTTCTCGCATAAAGTGTCAAACTTAAATAATCGCCACTAGGGCAACAACTGAACTAGAAAGTCACACTGACAAACAGCTAATACATTTAAGTTTCTGTTTCAGAAGGGTTTTAAAATGTTAGTTAAATCAAAATTAAAGTAATATCCTATAAACTGACAGCATTTAATGATTCTGCAAAAATATTGTCCAATATTAGATACAAATGTTGTTAAAAATCTAGTCTAAGACTTATTGGAATTATATTTTAGCCTCAAAATGTTTGAATCATAACAATTTCAATACAATTGAAGAATGCAATGCCCAAAGCTTAAAGAT